TTGAACAGCTTAATGACATGCATTATAATATCAATAACTTTCAGTTGTACTAAACTTTTACTTATCCCACAAATGATAAATGTAATCATTCAAGCTTAAAATCATATCGCATATTTACTCGAGCTTTAGTTAGCAAAAATAATTTTAATAAACATTTCAGAATAAGTTTTTACTCCGAAAAATTTTCTATGTGATTATTTTGACTTTAGTCTATACTACATAAAAAACGTTTTATATTAATATAACATTGAAAATAATTAAATTTTAAAAATATTAGTTCTTGCAACAAATATCTATAAGTAAAACTTAACTTTAACTCTGTGTTTAATCTTAAAAATTTGATAAAGCACAAATGCTATTTAATTTTTTATTTTTTACTTTAGAATAGAAAACTTAAAGCAAACGAAAGTTATATATTTATCGTCAAAGTCACACCTTCAATATTTGCATTAAAAATTTAAAAAATTAAATAAATTGATTAAATTATACAAAAAATTTTTACATATTCAGCAAAGCTGATAATTATGTCAATCATATCAGCTATATTTATTACTATTATTACTATGATGGAGTAGGCTTATATCACTGCTATCTTCGCTCTTAATATTTTAAGAATTTTATGCAAAGTAAGAAGTGTAAAAGTGTCGTTCAAGTAAGACGTAAAAGCATTATCCACTTAAGTATTTAAGCTAAATAAAATAATACATGAAATAAAAAAGTAGCAATAATTAAATAATTAAAAAGCTATCAATTAGAAACAAAATCTTTTCACAAAAAAATTAAATTTGAATAATTTATAATGTTTAAGTTGAGCATTTCTCATAATCTTTTTCCAAAAAATTGACCTAAAATTGAATTTGAATAATTTAGAATGTTTAAGCATTTCTTATAATTTTTTCCCATAGAATTGGCCTGAATTTTTTAAGGCAAAAATTTTAAAATAACTTTTAATAACATCTGATTTATGACCTTATTGTGATTTTAGTTATTAGATATATAAAAATTTTAAATTGACCTGAAACTGAATTTGAATAATTTAGAATGTTTAAGCATTTCTTATAATTTTTTCCCATAGAATTGGCCTGAATTTTTTAAGGCAAAAATTTTAAAATAACTTTTAATAACATCTGATTTATGACCTTATTGTGATTTTAGTTATTAAATATATAAAAATTAAAGTCAAATATTTTCATAATTATATCAATATTTACTACAATTTAATAGTTTTACTTTTTGCAAAACTCAATTTATTTATAATAAAATTATGCGAACAACTGACATAATTACTTAATCAATTTCTAAGCAGAAATTTGAGTCAATTTTTTCCTTAAATTTTATCTTTCAAAATTTATTTACAACAATCTTTCAACACCTGTTCACTTACGTTTTGCATACGTAAAAAGTTTTCACACTCTTCACGCATTCACAGTGATGTTCATCATCTTCAATGTGCTTTTGCTTTTCGTGAAGGATTAAAACTTTTAGTTAGCACAAAAATTTTTAATTATAATATGAATTCAAATATTGCTTTGTTGGAAGTGAAGCATAAATTGTTCAGTTCCTCAAAACTTTTTTGGTTCTGAAAAAAATTCTGCAGAAATTGTTTAAATTATAGTTGCAAATAGCAGTACTATTTTTTAAAAGATTTTTGCTTATATTTGATTGCATTAAAAAAGTTTGAGCATATTATTTTGCTTAATTACTCAAAACCAGATTTATGCATAAATGTATAAATTTGTCATTTTTAATTTTATAAGTATTAATCAATACTAAAAATCACATATCAGACTTGCAAATATTAAAAAAATTTGAGAACAAATAAAATACAAAAATATTTTTTGAATAAATTAGTCATTAAAAATTTGAAAATTTTTCATCATACTTTGGTACTGTTGATTACGAAAAAATAAAGAATAATTTTTATAATTGTATAAACTTGTAAATTCGTATGCAAATTTAATTCCTGTACAAATGGATGTGCATTAATAGCAGTATTTCTTCTTTGTTCAATGCTGCTGTACTTTCTGCATTATCATAAAAGACAGTTGAAACTTCAAAAGTATTTTTTAAGTTAATTGTCAGCAACTATTTTGAATTGTAGTTCAAATAATTTTTTAAGTTAATTTAAATTTTTTTTAGGTTAATTTGAATAATATTTTTTACTGAATTTATCATTAAAAAGGATTAACACTTTGTAAGAAATTGATAAGAAGTTTGAAAAGATTAAATCAATTTGTATAAGTATAAACTAATTTAAATATGTAAACCTTTCTATTTTTAAAATTATATTCGAAATTGAAGAAATATACATTACATTGTATCACATATTTAAATCAACTATTCCCACTCTCTCTAATTTGCGATTCTTATCAATTACTAACTTCTCTTAAATTTAATACTGTTTCGCTAACTTTAATCTCTGTCTGAGGTGTTTTTAAAGTGTCTCTCTCTTTTTCTCTCCTCAACTCTATCATCCTTCTTTCTTACAGCAAAGGAAAATAAAATGATGGCACAAAAACCAAACGAAATTCCACATATCGTAATGAACAAAATCAAAGATTACATTTGATGCGAGTTTTCACGTAACTGACGTCGCAAGAGGACATTTACTTTGTTTACGGGCAAGAAGTACGGTCATCGACTGCAGAATGTGATGCATAAGGACGCGCCGTAAATCTTATTTCAACAAATATTTCTCAATTCTAAAATTTTCAATAAAGTTTTACGTAGTGCATTTTACTTATGTGTGGCGGCTTAATATCATATTCTATCTACAGTTTAGATGTTTTTTCTGTATTTGTTGGTAGGTGACTTGTTTTATATGAACGAAGATTGGGTTAGAAAGAAAAAAATATGAATAAGATTTTATTTAATAAAATACTCGTATATGACTTATTTATTTATTTGAACGAGATAAAATTCAATAATCATTATATTTTAGGTGATGGCTGATAATGCGATGTCCGAAAAGGCAAAAAATTCGAATCTTGAGTGTAGTGAAAATATTGCCCATCGAAAATCACCGGATCTATTTCCCGAAAATGTTCCTGGTGCGTGGGATATGCATAGAACATTAACTGTATGTTTACTTCGTTATTTATATTTATATTTATGTTCTCGGTTTTTGTGCAAGAAATAATTTTAATTTTTGAAGTAAAGGTATTAGTAGTTTTTTTAAATATATATATATGTCGACGTAAAAATTGTACATTAGATGCTATTTCGATATAGCTGTTATAATAACTTTATGCATGCAATTCAGATATCCAGTCAATTAGAATTTTTTGATGTTATTTATCTCATAACACTTATCAGAACTTACTTTACTGGTATCAGAAACATATGTAATTGTATTATTTTGGAGATTACAGATGATAGAGTATAGCTGTTTTAACAGTAAAAGAATGTACTCTGTTAAACCTTTTAGGCAGTTGCTAATGAGCCAAAAACCAATCGGTTCAGAACTGAGTTAGATCCACAAGACGTACGATTAGTAAATGGTAAGATCTTTTCAATCTTTTCAGATGTATTCCTTAATGATTTGAATTTCGATGTTAAATAAAAGGAAATAATATATTTTGAAACGGATAATTTTCTAGAATTGTATTTGCTCTTAAGACTACGTTTTGTTTATGTGACATATTTATATTTTTTATAGAGCTTGGTCAATTTAGTGCTGATCAATTGATGGAATATGTAAGGAGTTTACAGAATTCGGCTTATACATTAGGAGTAGAAGAAGGTTGTTTTTTGTATCACAAGTCGTCATATTTGGTTTATATAAAGCGATAAATTTTTTTTTTTTGCTTAGTTCTGCATAAATTTCATTCATTATTCAATATATTGTTTTTACAAAATTCAAAGTTTTGAGGTTATTTCAGCAAAGCAGTTTTCTAAAGGAAGATTTTTGCGAGTCTTTGAGAAGCGATCAGAAGAAGTGTCCAGGTAACAAATGAAACAAGATGAGACGATTTATTTCTGTCTATTTTGCTCTCTTTAAGAATTACAAACTTTTTTATATAAAATTAAAATTGGAAACAGTATCGTAAAAAAATTAACAGCTTTGAAATGGAGTTAGTTGTCGTACTTTAAAGAATGAGCCAAGAGTTCATTAATGCTTATTATTTCTTAGACTTCGTGATATATTTCGAAAATTGCCATTGTTTCCAGTTCGTTTACCATTTTCAGTTCATAAATTTAACATTTTGGATACATTTTATCATGTCCATATATTGCGTGGTATTTATTTCTGAATAAAACTTGCATTAATTTTGTTTGAACAAAGTATATTATCATATTCAGGGTGCTACTGGACTAGTTTTCAGAAAGTTTTTTTTGTTTCCAAGAAATAGATTAGTGTTAGTGTTTACTCTTCTCTGTATCGGTCATTGCAAAAAGCAATTGCTGAAGCTGATGATTTATGAATTTTATAGTAAAATAGAGGGAGTTTCACGTTTATCTTTAGGAAAAAGAACCAACCATTTTAGTATAAGTTCTGTTGCTTTAACTTTCTGGTGATTACTTGAACAAGTGCAAATTCACTAATTAGTTACTTAAAAATTGATGGGACAGAATTTGCTGTTCATTAGACTTATATGTTTTGTTTACTGTCTCTTAGAAGCTGATAACGTTCTTATCATAATGAGATGTTAATGTTCTTATTTCCGAACTGTAATGCTTTCATAGAGAGAAGGTTTCCTAATTATTAGTTTCGTTTTGGCTTTTATATATTTCAGTGATTAATGTTTATCGTTGATTTTTCATACAGTTAAGCTTACAGAAGAATGCATGTTTACTTCATCACACTAATATAAACACTGAACATTTCAGATGCTGCAGAGATGCTTACCTTGTCCTGTTTTCCTGTCTAGAGCATCATTTCGACAAATCTCATCCATCTCTCGCACGTAATATTCTCTTTTTAATGAATAATTTTTGTTCAAATTATATTACCTTTGAGAGCTAATGATCAAAATTTTATAGGCAGCGAACGTGTCTTTATGACTTACATTTAAAACATGGTGGTAAAATGGTCCCTTTTGCTGGATATGAAATGCCAGTTCAGTATGGAAATCATTCTATTGCAGATTCTAGTATTCATACTAGGTATGTTATTATTGGTAACTGTTCTTCTAATGAATGTATGTCAAACTTTTTTAATTGCAAAAGTTCTGGAAGCACTTGGCATTTTTGTAATGAATAATTTCAATATGAAAGTTTATTTTCCTAATTTTAGAAAACATGCAAGTATATTTGATGTTTCTCATATGATGCAAACACACATTACAGGAAAAGATAGGTATTTTTAGTTTTATTTTTTATTTGTTATCAAAAAATGAATGAAAGTATCGTTCTACTACCGATAGAATCCTTTATTACACATGCAGTTTTGATTCTTCTTAAAACGCGTTTGAGAAGAATAACATTGTCAGAATAATCAAGCAAAAAAAAATGAATAATTGAAAATTTTTATCATTATATCTCGAAATTATTTTGCATTGAATATCAGAAAGTAATAATGGTAATTAACTAAGTATGTTGTAACGTTGCTTTTTATGAACAGTTCTGGAACTATTCAGATTTCTTTTTTTGTATTTTTTGTAATTGCAGTCATGAAAGTTGTCATGTAACTATAACAGCTTATTTTCTAGTATTGCATTCATTGAATCGTTGACTACAGCAGATGTAGAAGGTTTGGGAGAGAATCAGGGATGTCTTTCTGTATTTACTAATGATAAAGGTGGTATTCGAGATGACTTGATAGTAACAAAAGTTAATGAAGAACTTGTTTATATGGTAACAAACGCTGGATGCATTGAAAAAGATTTCAACTATTTGATGGTTTGTAAAGTTGCTGAATTTCGAATTCAGACTTTGATAGTTCTTTGTTCTTGATCGTTGTTTACTTTATTTTCTATTAATGACAATCGCTTTCATATCAATTATGTAAGATAAGCGTTACCAAAGTTTTCACTTATAAGTTATTGACTGTAAACGCTTGAAAAGATGAATGCATCTGAATAAAAATGGCAAAATGGAAAGGACAGCAAAGATTTATAAAAAGAATTGAGTTCAGAATCTTAAAGAACCAGTGACACATTAAAGTGTTCCTTTTTTGGTTCCTTCTTAAATCATTACAGGACAATATGAAAAAATGGCAAAGAAAAGGAAAAGATGTGGATGTGAAAAAGATCGAAGGACATGGCCTCGTAGCTGTGCAAGGTATATTTTCTTTATTAATATTCACTATTTTTTAATGGTTTTAAAACTGAAATTCCAGGTCCAGAAATGATCACTCTGCTGGAGTCAGAGTCTGATATCGACATGTCTAAACTTTACTTTATGCATTCCAAAATCGGAAAAGTATGCAACATACCAAATTGTCGTATCACACGCTGTGGTTATACAGGTGAAGATGGCGTCGAGGTAATTTGTGATTATTTATGTTTTCAGTTATTGACATGCTCTCAGAAAACTTATTTTTTGTCTGAAATGGGAATTTGATTAATTTTTCGTCTTTTTTTTTGCTTTCGGTGCACTTCAATATTCTGCGATTCTAAACAAAATCAAATACTGGCATTTAGTGATGCTGATCTTTTGTTGAAACATCGTCATTCTTTGTCTGTGTGCGAACTTCAATGATTATTATGATGATTTACTATTTCTAAGTTACTGGTATCAATAAATTTTAGAAGAATGAATCATGCATAGTTTTTGAATGTTTCTCAGGCTGTTTTAAACTTCGGTAACAAATTATCACTTTCAAATTTCATTACTAATGTATAGCCAGCTTTGTATTTTAATCAATATATTGTGCAAAATACTGCGATTCTTTTGCTAGCCATTTTTATATTTAGATTTCAGTAGATCCGAAATGGGCTTCAGAAATGGTGGAACGTCTTTTACAATCCAAGAAAGCTAACGTCCTGTTGGCAGGTTTAGGAGCTCGAGATGTTCTTCGTTTAGAAGCCGGTTTATGTCTTTATGGTAACGATATCGATGAGAACACTACACCCGTCGAAGGGAATATTGCCTTCGTCATAGGTAGTTTTTGAAAGCTCTTGGAACTGTCAAGTACATTTAACATTTTTTTAGTTTGTCTGATATCAAAAAAAAATTTATTTTTGGTTCTAGAACTACTCTTTTGTTGATGAAATTGTAATTCCAGCGAAACGTCGTCGTGAAAAAGCTGACTTTCCCGGGGCTGAAAAAATTTTATCGCAATTAAAAAATAAAGATTGGCCAAAAAGAAGAGTTGGATTGATCTCAGAATCTGGAAGAGTTCCGCGAAGTCATTTTTTCCTTTGCGTTAAATTCTTATTGTTAATGAAAATGAGTAATAACCATCATTTGTTGTTCCTTTTGTAGATAACATTATTTCGTATTCTGATGACTTGTGAGATGATGAAGTTTCAGGTCATTTGCCTATAATAGATCCAATTAATAAAGCATCGGTTGGCTTCGTTACATCTGGTTGTCCATCGCCAAACTTGAAGAAAAACATTGCAATGGCTTATGTGGACAGATTAGATTCAAATGTGGGAAAAGAGCTGGCAGTGGATTTTGGCAACAAAATGGCAAAAGTTACAGTAGCAAAATTGCCTTTCGTTTCGACAACTTATTATATGGCACCTAAAAATTAATTCAATAATATTTCAATAAACATTCTGATAATTTAGTCTGCATTAATTTGATCCTTTAAAATATTGTGTATTTTTTCTCACAAGCAGTACTTTATCGCTTAGAAGTGCTAAGAGTGGGAAAATTTGAGAAAAATATTTATTTAGCAATCAAAGAAGCCATACAATGTTTGATAGATATTTAATTTAATTATGTAGTGTATGTCGCAAGGTCAAGTAAATAAAATTATGTCGTAAGGTCAAGTAAATAAAACATGAACACGTAAGATTTTACCTAGTTTCATGACCTTAAACTACGTTATTAATTTTTCACGGACGGAATTCAAAATTATGAATATTTATTTCTGCTTATTTTATCTTTAAATTTTTGTTACATTTTCCAGCAATAAAATATTGTGCGTTAAATGTTTATAAAAATTACTGTAGTTTGTGTTTTGTGAAAAACAACGACAAATAAAACCGATACGA